GCCTATAATCTGAGCACTCGGGAGGCTGAGGCAGGAGGATTGCTGTGAGTTTGAGACCAGACTGGGCTACATAGTGAGTTCCAGGTCAGTCTCAACTACATAGTGAGACCCTGTCTCAAAAAAAAACAAAAACAAAAAAAACTAAATGTGGGGCCAGGGATTTAGCTCTGTGGTTCAGTGGACTGCCTTGCAAGTGCAAGGATACGAGTTCAATCCCCGGTACCACAAAAAAAAAAAAACAAAAAACAAAAAACTAAATGTGTATTTCTCATCTTTTCACATACTTGTATCCCACTAGTCTTTCAGTTATCAAGGAATTATCTGAGTTGAGATTTGCAAGGACTGGAATACCATTTAAAATGGAAAAGATTTTAAATATTCAGAAATAAGGGAATCTCAAATTTATCCCAGATCTAAACTTTGTCTTTGAACCTTACAGTCTAAAGAAAATCTAAGTGTATCTGTCTTCTTTATGCCAGAACTTTAGAAATAACAAGAAAGCAAAGGGGCCCGGGATTTAGCTCAGTAGCACCCAGCCTAGTCTGCCTGGCAAGTTCAAGGTCCTGAGTTTGATCCCTGGTACCAAAAAGACAAGACTGAAACCAGGGCCACCTTCAGTGTTGCTAGAGGCAATGTGACTCGCCACTTTCTGTCAATTAAAATACAGTTTTCAGTGAGGAGCTGGTTGGCAAACCCACTCCCCAGAGCGAGAGAAGAGGGAGAGGAAGTCATCAGTTTTTAGTCTCCTGCTGTCCACATCCCTCCCCACCAATGGTCATGGCTGGCATTTGGACTTGCTGATCCAGCAGCCATCACTTTCTCCTGTGTGACTACATTACTTATGCATAGTCCCATCGGCTACTCTTGGTGGAAAGCAAGGGATCTGTCCCCACATAGGAGGAGATCGGCATATGGCCTTCCCTAAGCTCCAGTGCACCCTGTGTCGGCAGTGTCAGTGACTTTCCTATCTGCCTCCCCATCCTCGTGTCCCACCTGCAAAAGTCCAACCCTATGGAAGAGTAGCAAGAGGACAATGGACTGCATCACAGCAAGCTGCCCTCTGTGAGACTGGCCCTCCATCACTGCCAATTCCTGGGTTTCTCAGGAAGTGACTGGAACCCTCCAAAGAACCATTTTTAAAAGAGTCTGCAGTGTTCCCCATGTGACAGAATGTTTAGGGAAAAAGAAAACATGCATTAAGGGGAATCCTTCTGAACAAAATGGCTGTCTTTACCTACTCTCTTTAAGCAAAAACTGTTTCCAAAATTTTTAGTGTTAAACTATAACCAAGTGTCTCCTGATTTTTTTTTTTTTCAATATGTTTGGTGAGTGCTGTGACCCTGTTGTAGGTATTTTTTCTGCTGTCCCTTTCAGGGGAGAAGTGGTTTTAAGGGTTAATTTGGGGGAGTGAATTTCTGTCCCCTCCCACCTCTTTTGTTTCTCTGCTTGTCAGTATTGTCTGTGTGATTCAGAGAATTGGGGCAGTCACTTTGTGTCCTTTGTTGAGAATACTAAAACATTAAAAAGTAGCTGTAGAACTGAAAAAAGATCTGTGTTTTTAAAATGCAAATCAATATCATGTTAATAAAGAAATTCAAGCTATGGGGCAGCCAAACCCCTCCCCCTCCTCCTACCTTGGCTGAGGTATCAGCCAGGCCAGCCACTTGGGAAATACAGTGACCACACTCCAGGTGGGTGACTGCCTGGAAATGCCTGACAACTGCCGAATAAGAGAAATGAGAATCTAGGCGCGCAGAGGCTCTCAGTCGTGCCAGGATTCTCCCATACATCCTCAGGACCTCTGGGTAAAGGTCTCAAAGTTGGTGACCCAGAGATACCCTTACACCACCTTGGTCCCTGCCCAGTGTGCCTAGCATTGTGTGGCAACTGGGTTTGACTCCTTGGCCCCTGCCTGGCAGGCCACAGGACCTTTTTCCTACCCACTTGGTGCTATATCATCCAGTGACTATCCCATAGGGCCAACACTGGCCAGCCTGGAGCCTGCAATCCAGGTGCAATGAATTGTTCTCAGAACTTGGTTCCTTCTGACTCAGACCCTAGATTTCTTTCTCTTGAAGCTTTTTAAACCCAAATCTCCCAGGCCCGGACTCATTCTCTTGGCCCCAGAGATGCCATGGTCAGGAAAGGAAATGAACCGTGCTGAAGTGAGAGAACCCACCCCGGGCCAGAGTGAGCACTTCAGCCTGCCCTTCTCTCCATGCCATAGCAGTATTGCACCCATCTGAAACAACAAGACCTAGCAGGAGGCACATGCCACCTGTCGGGCTGGCCTGCCACATATTGTCAGGATGTCCCAGATGGGCACTTGGGGTTCGCTCCCGTTTGAGAAGACACGTGTTGCACTTTAGTGGGGAGCCAGGGAGTGCTGGGTACTGGCCCATTGTAGCTTGAGTCCCTTTTGATAACAGTAGCAGCAGCCTAATGGTGGTATCTGTGATGCAAACACACATACTGCCTTCAACTGTACATGTGTGTGATTACTGGAGTCGTGTTGCCAGCTGGATAACGACATTACAAAGAAATTGTGTTCTGTTTGACTTTGCCTTGTTTATTATTGTAAACACTTTGTTCATTTTTTTTCTTTTTTATTCACAAACTAAATCCATCAGGAAATTATAAAGTTATTTAAAAACTGTGTGATGTGTCCTTTGAGTCTTTCAGTCTGACCATCAGGCAAGACGTGTTCTCCCGTGCTGGAAAAGCAGGAAGAGACATTGTTTCCTGGGAAGTCGGCTCCAGTGGTAGGTAACCTGAGAGCCAGGGCGCTCACAGTGGGACTCACAGTGTGCTGCATGTTGGTACCTTAGCCACAGACCCTCTGGGGTATTCTCAGCAGAGAGGGCTGCTTTTGGTTCCCATCTAAACTCTGGTTATCTTCTCGAACTCCATCTCCAATGCCCTTTTCCTTCACACCATGAGCCCTAAGCATCTGCCACCCAGTGGTGGTGGAGCCACTCGTGCTAAGATAGAACAGCAAGCATGGTCCTATCGTAAGAGGGTTTAGTTCAGAACTGGGGTTTGTGCCTCGGTGGGGTGTGTGGTGCTGTTGGCCAGCAAAGTGAACACCAAGAGTAAAAGGGAGCCAGAAGATGCTGTGTGTGAGAGTTGTCACCGCCACTTCTGATTTTCTCTGGTGTCTTATGATGAATAAGAAGTTTTAATTTATTTTATGAGAATGAATTTTCTAGGGAGCTTCATTTCTGTCTCCCCCAGAAAATAAGAAAGTCTGGTTTCTGTGTTCCCTTCCTCCGGGGTAAATCATGATGCCCACTTTTTGACCTGTGGAGTGGGGGGTCCAACAGTGTCCTCAGAGTGCCAGCTCTCTGTGCCTTCCTCTCTCCAGGCATAACAGCTGCTCAGACCTTCTGCCTGGTTGAGGAGTGCCTGGGAAGCATGGCACTGGTTTCAGGACTGAAAACTTGCTCACAACTTCATCCTGTAAACAGGAACAATTTGACTGGCAAAACATGAATTATACCACACAACATAAAAATCACAACCACAGCCCATGTGTCCATAGGAGCTGTGAGGTTATACTGGTCATCCATTTCCGGGGCATTTCAGTGATGACATTTATTCACTCTGTGGTCTACTGGCAGTCAGTAGATCCAGGCAACACAGGTTTGAGGAAAATACATGAAAACTTTAAATTGAAAATTTCATCCATTAACTTGCATTTTCCTCTGAATTGGGAAAATACCACTGTTGTTTGGTTTTTGAGGTGGCACGCTTCAGGCTGGCATACGGATGATAAAGAACTTGTCAGGCCCTGAGGTGAGACCCACAGACTTTCCCAGCTGCCCTGGGATTTTTTACCTTGCAGTTGCCCCTTCCCCTCTACTGCGTTTATTGCCTGTGTCACAAGCCATAAGTCAGTAAAGATAATATATGGTTTTGTTTATTCCTTTCTAAAAGCTGCTTAAGAGTAAAAAGCATAAAGTTGCTTTTTCACATCTATCAGTGGCTTTGCTAGAAGAGGGCAGGGGCATGATGTAGCTGTGAAGAGATTGGCTAATGGGTTGGTAATGAAAGCTGGGCATCAAGCACCTGTGCCTCATTAAACCGTTCTTCCTATTCTGTGTGTGTTTGAGACTTTCGTGAGGAAGGTCAATAAATGATCCCTTCCTGCTATGCTGCCCAGCCACCAAACACGGAACTTCTTCCCCTTAGAATCCTGGCAAATGGCTACCATAATGCATAGTTCATCTTGTACCCTCCTATTCCTGGGCCCTAGGGACACAAAGACAGTAGCTAGTGGTTTATCTGCCATCTTGCAGATTCAATTCCCTGTAGTGGGTGTAGTTTGTCCCATTTCATCTTTTTCTTTCTCTTTCTTTCTTTCTTTCTTCTTTTTTTTTTTTTTGTTTTTTTGGTACTGGGATCAAACTCAGGATCTTGTGAGGCAGGTGGGGGCACCACTGAGCTAAATCCCTGGCTCTTGTCTCATTTCATCTTCACAGCACTCCTACAAAAGGGAGTCCTGTCACCTAATTTACAGATGAAGCAAAGACTGATTAAACAGTATCCCAAAGGTCAGAGAGCTGGCACCGAGTAAGGCTGGGATTCAGACCTAACTTGTCCACCCATAATTGTGGCCACTTCCCAAGGAGCTTTCAGCTGGGAGGGGGAACTCATTCCTGCAATCCCTAGCATGGGATTCGAGGAGCAACAGTTCTCAGAGCCTCCACTTGGGCTTGCTAAGAGGAGTTGTTCTCGTAGCGGTACTCAAGGGAGAAGGGAAGCAGAGAAGGCAGCACAAGGTAAACAGGGAAGTGGGAGAGTACACGGAGTGTGGGATAGCCTTGACTAGGCAATGGCAGCACCAAAGGTGGCTTAAAAGGAGCTAGTTGAGCCCAGATGCTGAAATGGCTACAAGGGCCCTGAATGGCCCAAATGGGAAAGCATC